ATTGTGTGTATGTACACATTTTGTTTATCCATTCATTAGTTGATGGATTTCTGTTTCCACCTTTTGGCTAGTGTGAATAGTGCTGCAGTGAACATGATGTCCATGTGTCTGTTAGTGTTGCTGTTTTCAAGTCTTTTGGATATAACCTAAGGGTGGAATTGCTGGGTCATATGGTTCTATGTTCTACGTTCAGCTTTTTGAGGAAGCACCAAACTGTATGCTGTAGTAGCTATACCAGCTTACATTCCCACCAGCAATGGATATGGGTTCCTATGTCTCCATAGCCTCGCCAACACTTAATGTTTTCTGGGGTTTTTCTTTTCTTTTCTTTTTTTTATCATTACCATTGTAATGGGGGTGAGATGGGATTTCATTGTATTTTTTATTTGCAACTTTGTAATGGCTAATAGTTGCAGCAGTATATTGACAGGGATCTTCCAGAAATTCAAGTGGGATTCAGAAGACTGCAGAATGAAGGATATCATAGCTGATGTCAGATGGATCTTGGCTGAAAGCAAAGAATACAAGAAAGATGTTTACCTGTGTTTTATTGACTATGCAAAGGCATTTGACTGTGTGGATCATGACAAATTATGGATAACATTGTGAACAATGGGAATTCCAGAACACTTAATTGTGCTCATGAAGAACCCATACATAGACCAAGAGGCTGACATTCAAACAGAACAGAGGATACGGCATGGTTTAAAATCAGTAAAGGTGTGCATCAGGATTGTATCCTTTCACCATACTTACTCAATCTGTATGCTGAGCAAATAATCAGAGAGTTGGACCATATGAAGAATGCGGCATCAGGATTGGAGGAAGACTCATTAACAACCTGCGATATGCAGATGACACAACCTTGCTTGCTGAAAATGAAGATGACTTGAAGCATTTACTGATGAAGATCAAAGACTACAGTCTTCAGTATGGATTACACCTCAACATAAAGAAAATAAACATCACAGTAAATGGAGAAAAGATGGAAGTTGTCAGGGATTTCATTTTACTTGGATCCACAATCAACACCCATGGAAGCAGCAGTCAAGAAATCAGAAGCCAAACTGGGCAAATCTGCTGCAAGTCACTTTGAAGACCAAGATGCACCTAACCCAAGCCATGGTATTTTCAGTTGCGTCATATGCATGTTGAAAACTGGACAATGAATAAGGAAGACTGAAGAAGAGATGCTGCCTTTGAATTATGGTGTTGGTGAAGAATACTGAAAGTACCATGGACTGCCAGAGGACAAATCTGTCCTGGAGGAAGTGCAGCCAGAATGCTCCTTGGAAGTGACCATGGCCAGACTTCATCTTACCTATTTTGTCACATCAGAAGGGACCAGGCCCTGAAGAAGAATGTCATGCTTGGTAGAGAGTCAGCGAAGAAGGGGCAGACCCTCAACAAGATGGACTGACACAGGAGCTGCAACAGTGGGCTCAGGTGTAGCAAGGATTGTGAGGATGGTGCAGGACTGAGCAGTGTTTTGTTCTGTTGCACTTAGGGTCGCTATGAGTTGGAGCCCACTCGATGGCACAGCAATGGCTAAGGACTTTGTGCATCTTTTCATGTGCTTTTTGACTCTTTGACTGTCCTCTGGTGAGATTTGAGTTCTTTTCCCACTTTTTTTATTGCTTTGTTGATCTTTTTGCTGTTAAGTTGTGTAAATATTTTATGTTTGGGATATTAGACCTTTAGCAGATACATGGTTCCCCAAAATGTTTTCCAGTGGCTGTAGGTTGTCTTTTCACTTTTTTGATAAAGTCCTTTGATTCACAGAAGTAATTTCTATAAGGCCTCACTTGTCTGTCTTTTGCTGCTTGCATTTTTGTTGTCACATTGGATAGCCCATTATCAGCTGTCCCATATCTTCATCTCTAGATTTTGTTCCAGGAACTTTATGGTTTTGCTTTTC